ATGATAGCCATATCACACAAAGACGAAGTTTGGGCACGACGTCGTAGGCGGAGAACTCAATCGTCTGATTGTGATATGAACAATCTACTCGATATGGTCAGTATATTTTTTCTACGACCCACTAACGAAAATCTACAAATTTAAAAAATTATTTTAGGTTATTTAGACAAAATAACTAATTTTAAAATAATTTACGAAGTTGACTAATTTATAAAATAAAATAAACATGAAAAATTAATTAGTCCTCGGCCTAGATTCGATCCCGGACTTTTCGCGTGGAAGGCAGATGCTCTGTCTTCATCTTCACCGAAACTTTCAGGACTTTAGTTTTAATACTCGTAATTAAATTAGTATCATGTAGTTTAATTAAAATTTATTTTTTTTTAAATGTGGACACAATAGAAACAAAAATACTATTATTTATCGAGTCTGCACAAAAATTTTAATGTATATTTAATATCAATAACTAAAATATATATTGACAATTAGTTTAACAGAATTGTCACTTATTTAAAAAATTTTAAATAATAGGAGTTGGGTGACCAAAATATGAACTGTGATTTGTAGATTTAATTTTGTTAAAGTGTTCTTACTACCTAAAATGGATATGAAATATATTCGTAGTTGAACACAATAACATACTTTTTCGTTTTGTAGTATGTGCGTAGATTGGCTAATATCCATGCACAGATTACAAAACGAAAAAGTATGCTACTGCCTTCAATTGAACGAATATATTTCATATCCATTCTAGGTAGTGAGAACACTGCAAAAAAATAAATTCGCCAATCACCGTTCATATTTTGATCAACCGACTGCTATTATTTTTAGCATGGATGACTAAAGGGTATTGGGTTAATTAATTCTAAAAGTGTGGTACAAATGTTATTTTTTGTAGCCAATTCTTCAAAATTATTTTGAAATATCTTTTCAATATTGAATATTAGTTCTACAAATTCATCATTTGACAGTTGCAGATTTCCAAATGTATCTGAATTGGCGTTATCATATGCCTTTAAAAAGCAATAAAAAGAAAAATCATCTATTTCAACGTGATCTTTGTTATATTTAAGACAGGTATCGCAGGAGTGGATCCGCAAGGCTTTTATTAAAAGGTAACCACACACATACCTGATAAAATTTTTCTGTAACAATTCGTCTTTACAATAATTTAGGTGTTCCATTTAAAAAACATACATTTTAATTTGCCAGGCAAAAACGTGACACCCTGTATATTCAAAGATATTTTTAAAATATGTAGGTATTTTTCAAATCCATATAACTTTTATTTAAAACTTTCTTGCGTGTCTACAACAAAATAATGAACAATAACGCACTAATGGGACACCCTGTATAAATTATATTTTTAACAATGAAAATTTCTTATAATGTGGTACTTATCGGTTTGAGTCCTTGGGAAAACTAAAGAATGTTTTCTTGCAGGTATAACCCTTATTAAAACAGCTTTTGACTGCACAAACAGAATGATGTCTTTTTTTTCATTCATTCTACTCACAGCTAAAGAGTCACCAAAATAATAACAGTACCTTTAACTCAAACAAAATCTACGAAATTATAGGCTCCTCGAAATTATACAATCAACGAAATTATACGCACGACTCAACACCTTACCTAAGTACACTTCTGAACGCCAAAACCGTCTTTTCTGCTGTGATATAAGTTCGAATACTTGCATATTTAATCAATTATTTCTCTTTGTGTTTTTCTATCCGAATTAATAAGAAATTTTTTGATGATAGATTTAAAAAGTTCAACGGAATTTATGATATAAATATAAAAATGTTGTGCTATTGTTTTATTTACAAGGTGGGTACCAACTTTTCCTTTATCCTTGCTTCTTGTATTATAGTTATGGGTAATTTTATTTAATAATTGTTTATTTTTGTAGATTAGAATTATAACTAAGTATATGTATAATTGTCGTATATCCATTATTTTTACTTCCTCGAACAATGCATCTGTTGGGTATCTAACTTTTTTGTTATATATTATTTTTAGAATTCTCTTTTGTAATGTTTCAAGTTTTGTTATGTGATTTTTGATTGTAGCACCCCAGTATATATACCAATCAGTATTGGCACTCTGAGGCGGCACGTTTGATCTTTAAAAGTAGAAATTTTAGTTGACACTTGACGTTTTCGGGATATGAAAAGTTTTCTTTACACGGACTTGGTATACCTGGTTAGTTGAATTTTTGTTCTGCTGCTTTTCAAATTCGTGTGTATGAGGGAGATGTGAGATACCTTAATAGACAACGGTTGAACAACTTAATTACTTTGAAGAAGAAAATAGATTAGATATCAGGGCAGTCTTCGCAAATGTAAGAAGGACAGAACCGTTTTAAATTTTTTTATATATGTGAAATATTACTTTTTGGTGAAAAGTTTAATTACTTTTAGTATAACGTTAGTTTGTCAAGGGAAATATATAACACACAAGGTTAGAGTAACAAAATAGAGGTATTGCTTTATTTCTTAAGAATTACTCTAATCTAAAACTTTTCTAGTATATTGTAAAAATTTATTCTATACGTTATTTAGGTACTGCAAAATCTATAGAAAAGTATGTAGTTTTAAATTTAAAAATTTGTAACGGAGACATATTTAGTGTAGTTTTTTTTACAAATATGTACTCAGTGACTTGTTTTTGTGAATGAGTTCAAGTATGGCAGACTAAAATCGTTATTTTTTATTATGAATTAATTTGATTTTATTTTAAAATGGGAACTATATGTATATGGTTTTCGTAGTTTTTACACTTGTTATAAAAATATCAAAGTTATGTATATTGGCCATTTACTACACACAGCAAATTCATAGACACAATACATATTACTATTTGACATTCTTGTAAAACCACTAATTTAAAATTGACTTTAAACTAAGTGACTACACACAGAATTGTTTGAAAGCACCAACAGGGTATAATTTATGTATTGGATACTATAAAAAAATTAATAGTAGTTACATGTAGAGTTAAGTAACAAGAAATTTAAGACCAAAAACAAAACAAACCTTTATATCTAGTGAACTTATTTTAGTACAGTCCTCAACTTTCTTAGGCTAACATTAAAGATATCTATTTGGATCTCGCTAAGAAACTCATTGGTAACAGCCATCATCTTGTTAAAAAGAGATATACTACTTGGATCTAAATCAAATAATTTATTGTTACTTGGGTGTCTTAGATTAATCTTTGCCGCATTAACATTTATATAGTCAATCAATTCACAATATTTGTACTTAAAATAGAGTACAAAATATATCACAGCCTGTTGCTTTCTTCTTTGTAAAAGAGATTTATTCTTAAAACTATTGAGCATAGTTTTATACGAGATCTTAGGTATAAGGGTACAAGTATTCTTTATGACATAAAGGTACCGTAAAAATATTTTTTGTACTTTTTCAATATGATCAATTTGTGTGGCTTCCAAGGGCATCCATATTTGTGAAACATACTCAAGATGGAGTCTTACTAAGGCATTATATAATCTGATTTTGGTGGTAATCCTAAATTTTTTTGTATTTCTGATTTAAAAACCTAATGCTTTTATTGCTTTTTTTAGTTATGTGTAAAAAATGGTTATTGAACTTCAAATTAGACTGAAAGACAACTCCCAAATCCTTTACCTCATATTAACGATTTAATGTGACATCACAGGTCTTATTTCTAATGTAAAACATTAAGAGGCTATGGATCCTTACAACTTAAAATATGCATACGTTTGTAAGTGTTAAATAGACGGATAAAAAGTGTTGATTTTTATTTACAACTATAATAAGAACCCATTAAAAAGATTAAGAGCAATAGAACATTTCAACAAATTTCTATAGGTACACATATTTTTGATACCTGATAATCAATAAATAATATATTTTTTGGAGTAGCAACAGGTTTATTAATACACAACTATTATTTTGTTACAAATAATTATAATATTTATAATTAACATAATAGTTGATATAAGTCCTTTAAAAATAATATATTTTGATTTAATTGTTGAATTTATACATGAGCAATTTTCCTTGCAGCGTTGTTTACATTTTGCAGAGAAATATTGTATTCTGCTTTTAGCTGATAAATCATGTACATGTAAATGGGTTGAATGTAAACAATGTTAATGTTTTTGCTACTACTGCTGGCTAGAAATGCTGGTCTAAGACACCAACAGAAAAAAAGGAAGCACAAAGCACTAGATGTTTTTATCACTTATACACGTACAATTTAAAACCATTCAAGTAACTAGCATGTTGGAAATACTTCACGAAAACATATTAAACATAAATCAGTCGAAGGCAATGTATTTTCTTTTTATAACACACCTTTTTAGCTTGATTACTTTTAGTACTCTATTTATTCCAATGTCCTCAAATAAAACGAGCAATAATAAGGATAAAACACACACTGAAGTGTATTTGGGGTATTTTTGATCTAAATGCACTATCAAAATAACAAATTTTCCGTTTTTAAGCTGTGAATGTATTACAAAAACTACTTCGATAAAATGTAAACAAAAGTTTATATTTGTGTACGAAATATGGGTTGCCTGCGCATGGTAGCGAGTTTTTAACCGGATTTATGACAAGTGATAGGTTATATCCCGAAAACGTCAGCGCAGTAAAAGCTGCGCGTCTTTTTCCCGCCCAGGTAGTGTCTTGGGCCTGGTAGCACCCCAACAGACGATTGCGTATTGTACACGACTTTGGCCTAAAGCATAATAAATATTTCTTAGGTGAGTAACTTTTAAAATATTTTAGAGGTATTTAAATTTAAATAAAAAAAGTCTTAAGGTATTTATATGTGCGTCCCAACGTAAATGACAATCTAGGGTAACTCCTAAATATTTTATTTTTTTTTTCAATGTTATTTTCTTATAATGTTTGTTGCTTTATCTTTTTTTACTTTTAAGTTTTTTTACACGAATTTGCCCTTATGAACGGCGCGGACCTGATAACAGAAAAAAATAAATAATATGTTACCTTTTCGCTTGTTCCTGTAGTCTCTCATCTAAACTCTGAAAGTCGACATAATCTGCAGCATTACTGTCAACAGTAGAAGAACACAGTAAACCATCACTTATTCTACTACTAGACTCGCCATACTCCTTTTCCAATTTTTCTAGCTCTTTTAAATCGATTAGTACTGTTTCGGGCATTTTGTTTTCCTTTAAATGTAGAGCTCTTTCATACGTCTTTTCTGGTCTGTTTAGTACATCTCCAGATTTTTGCGTACTATCAAACACAGTTTGGGGACCATTTACTATTTCTCTGATTTTGTCAAGTACTAGGTCTGTGCTATTGGGAACCGTTGTATATTCTAATTTAGAATTATCAAACGATTTTTGATCTGTTCCATCTTTTTCGGATTTAATTTCGTATTTATTAACAGAATCTTGTAATAAACCAAAATTATTTTTCATTGCATCTTTTTCAGATAATTGTTCGAGCGGATCTGAAGTATCTAACAAAGGTGTAGTGTCAAATAGAGTACATTCCACATTCGATTTAAGAATATCGTCTATACCGTTATCAGTGCAGTGATCATAGATTAAATTTGTTTGTGTAACTTCTTTGTGCAGGTTATCGGTAAAACAAACTTCTGTTGCCTTCTGTAAATCGGGACCTGTTGATTTCAAAAAATTATTTTAATGAACAAGATATTTTCATTGAAACGAATTATAAATATTTTAAATGTATTAGATTCTGTAACACCAAAAAAACAAATAAAAATATTTCCTAAATACAAAAAATGGTGGAATGAAAATGTAAAAGCTGCCACAAGGTACATATAAAAATTATTCACAAGAAAAAACAGAAAATAATTGGAATGATTACAAAATAGAAATAGTGCCGTTAACGTAATTAGAAGAGAGAAAAAAGTAAACACATAGAGAAAATTATTTACGAAAGTAGGGGAAATTGAAAGGAAATGTGGAAATATCTTGAATGTCTGATTCCAAAAAATAATAAGTCGAATATCTTAATTGAACTAAATATTATTTTTTATAAAAAATATTTTTGACATGCCAAATGCTCTTAATAAATTTTACATAGATAGTATTCAATTGTTTGCTAGTATGATTGATCATACAATACCAGATTATCAAATTTTAGACAGACACAATGGACATTTTCTTGGAAAATTTCAACTATGTACGGTGGATTCTTTGAGAGACATCCTTTTTGCAATGAAAAATAAAAGTATCACAGATGACATTAACAATATTTTAAAAAACTGTTTTCCCAACCTCTCAAAACCATTTTTTAGAACAAAATAAACTTATTACTAGAATACAAACGGGCTTCAAAAGCAAACATAACTGTGAATCAGCTATCCAGTGTGTTTTATATGATTGGAAATATAAATTTGATAAAAACTATCTAACATTGGTAGTTTTTATAGATCTTCAAAGGGCATTCGACTGTTGATCAAAACCATTTGATAAAAAAATTGAAAAGTATGGGTATAGTAGAGCAAGCATTGAAGTGGTGTGTGAATTATATAAGTAAGAGGAAACAAAAGTTAAAAGTAAATAACATTTTGTCAGAGGAAATTAACTATATCAGAGGTGTTCCGCAGGGAAGTACAATGACATTGTTGATTTTAAAGGGTCAATGTGACATTCACCTGTTTGCTGATGATGCCCTAATATATTTTTATAATAATAATAATAATAATAATAATAATAATAATAATAATAATAATAATAATAATAAATGGTCTTTATTCATCATAGTTACACATTTACAATAACAAAAAAAAAAGAAGGAAAATGATGAAAAGGCGAAGTTCAGCACAAGGCTGTTTTTCAACTTAACCTGCAACGCAAATAAATACATATTCTATTTCATACACAAAATGAATATTGATGAAAACAGCTTAAATTATATTTACAAAAATTATTTTTCAAGAGAGTAAACCTATTTCTTGAAAGTTCATGTTTTCGTTTTATAATGCAGATTGATTAGCTAAAAGGTTTTCTTTGAGACGTTTCTTAAAATTAAGAATATTGTAGGATCTATATCCCGCCGTTATATCATTATATTTTTTACTAGCAACGTACGAGAATGATCTTTCGAATAATGTGGTACTATGCATGGGTACTACTTCTTGTAAGTATTCAGATAACTTGGTAAGAGTTGTTAATGAAACACTACAACATGTTTATAAATGGTGTTGCAATAATTTGTTGAAAATTAATACAAATAAAACAAAATGTATGTTGATAAGTAGCAAATATAACTATACACAGTTTGTTGATAAACAATATAATATAACAATTGGAGGAAATTCTATACAGTTAGTAGAAAAATTCAAATACTTAAGGGTAATGATTGACAAGCAGATGAGATTCATAGATCATGCCAACACTGTTATCAAAACTATTGCATTTAAGTAATTTCCTATTTACAAGTTCATTTGGCTTATCACAGTGGACTAAATATATTATATATAATACTATAATTCTACCTCACTTTAATTATTGCTCTAAAATACTCTTTTTACTAAATCAAAATGAGTTGAACCGACTACAGAAAATCAAACACAGGCTACTTCCAATGTACCTAAAAGAGAAGCTTAATTATCACTCTAAAGCACAATTATCCAACGCGGAACAGAAATAACTTTTATATTGAAACAGTAATTAAGAGTGCAACACAAAATTCACTATTTTTTAAAGGTCTTCCAGAGAAAATTAAATCAGTAACGTCTATAAATACATTTAAAGTCAAAGTGACAGATTTATTAATTGATAAATATTTCTCCAGAAACACTAACAACCTATAGAATTTTAGTTAGTTTTAATTGTATCTAAATTATCTATGTTTTGACTTATATTGCTATGTTAGCAGGTAAACAAATTTTGCGTGATTACTCATTGTAGTATAATATAAAGAACATTGGTAGTCAAGAGTGGGGAGTGCGGGAAGTGATGGCGGTGGTAGCGAGCCGTCGACTGCACTCTCCCGGCCAGAACGAAATGATGGGTCGCCTTGAGTGCTATAGTGAAGTCAAGCTGTTAGTTGATACTCGCGCATTGTCCTATTTGACTTAATTATTGAAAATAATAATTATTAAATATGTATATTTTTAATAAATTTGTATATTGTGATATTAGCAAGTTAGCTAAATAAAGAAAATAATAATAATAATAATAATAATAATAATAATAATCCTTAATCAGAGATACACTAGTTTAGTGATGATGTAATTATGGTTTCACTGACAATTAAAGTGACAGTAGAGTTTTTGAGCGCATTTTGTTAGTTTTGTTTACCTTAATATATAGTTTTTTCACTTTTGTAAATATATTCCTAAAGTAAGTAGATAACATACATCAAATATACAATCGTTTAGTTACCAATTACATACCTTTAAACTATTTTTTATGACCTGTAAACAATATTTATAAATAAACTAAAAACAGTAAAAACATATATGTCAAATTTATTGGTGTTTTTATTAAAAGTTTGGTTAGAATTAAATGTCAGTGGAACCAAAATGACATTACACTAAACTAGCGTATAGCTAATGATCTCATAACTTTATTAGACAGTTAATAATTTGAAATTCACATCTTTCGGACAGATCAAACTCTCAAAGTTTATCAGGTCGATCCTCTTTAAAACAACATTGTTGCAACTCTCTAGTTTACATCCTTATGACCATCTATAAACTAGACTACATTATTTTTGAAATTAAACAAATTGGATGTTGTAGACTTGTTTAAGTTTACCTTAAAAAACCATATGATGATAAATAAATGATACTTACACCGTCCTTTTCTGGCGTTTGTTGTGTAAATAGGTGTTTCAAGTTGACTTGGCCGAATGTTATTTACTATGAGTGCAAATGATGTACCGGGTGTATTTTCCATTTGAAGAGGATTTAGAGCTTTTGGTGTAAACATTTCTTCAGTATGTGATTGTAGACACAAATTGCTTGCATTCTCCTTATTATCAGTCAAATTCAACCCTTTTTTATTCATATAAGTTTGTTCTAATTTATTAGGAGTTTTCGCGAAAGTAAGTTCTTTATTGTCTGCATTTAATTTACTAATATCATAACTCGTTTCTAATTTAGTTACTTTTATAGATTTTCCTTCAGAATCAACTGAAATTGTTTCTGATATCTTAGTTTTTGATCTAGTGGTATACTGTTTCTTCTCAATTTCATGGATATGCTCATTTTTTGAAAAATCTGGAACTTCCACATCTTTTTTGACATTTTTAGTAACTTTTCGTTCAGTTTGTGTGTTTGCAGTAATTTTTTGTGATTTGCTCTTTGACCTAGTACTGTACTGTTTCTCTTGAGGATCTGAAATTTGAGTAGAATCAGTGAAAATTGTAAAGTCACTTAAAATTTCAATTTTATTAGTTAAATTAGTCGATTCAACAAACGGTTGATTTATGTTGTCAGACTTTGAACTAGCCTCAATTTTCGAATATTTAATTTGTTCATTTGTGTATTTGAGACTAAGCTCGTCATTACAACCTATTACTCATCATTCAGAGTGTAATACTCTGAAATATTTCAAGCAGGTTCTTAAAAATAAAACAACCTATTGTGAAAATTAATTTCTTATCTTTGCTTTCTTTTTTTTTTGTTTTAATTTAATACCAACATTATAATACTTTTTACTAATTTATGGATATAGCAGAACTAAATATTTTTAATTAAATTGAAAATGACATTGAATTAAATAAAAATTCTCGTTATGACTTAGACAATATTTTAAATATTATCAGTTGCAATAATCATTTAACAACCTTAATAAAAATTTTGCATTTGAATATTAGAAGTATAAAAAAAAATGTTTGACAACTTTTTAGTATTTTTAGAAACTTTCGGTTTAAAGGACTTGGATATATTAATATTAGGAGAAACACGTAATGTTGTTGAACTTGATAATTTAATTATACCTGGTTTTATCAATATATTTAATGAAAGTGTGAATAATCAATGTGATGGTGTAGTTATATATATTAAAAACAACATTCAGTTTGAAATAGAACATTTAGTCATAATGGTATGCCCTATACAGTAATGCCTTGTTATAAATCTCCATCCATATCAGATGATACATTTCTTACAGATTTTGAAAATTTCTTAAATAATATACCAAGAAGGCTAGGAATGGATATATTTATTGGTCACATTAATATTAATATCCATGATCCCTCAAACCAAATAACAAATAGATATTTGGCAATGTTATCTTCCTTGGGATTTGTATCATATCGTCGATCTAAAGCACACATAATAGGTTCTTTCGTTCGCTGTTGGTGCAGTGTCCACGAGTGTAAATTACACCAGTTACACCACCTTATTTACCTTAGTTTACTTCTCTCCTTATTCCTTATACACATTTCGAGTGTAATTCACTCCTGCTAAATAGCTGGTGGAGAAAATATCCACCAGTGGACACCACATCGCCGATAGGAAGGTTTAGTGGATTTTACACCGGGCCGAACGAAAGGGTTGGTGTAATGCATTCCTACACCAGTGGGACGAACGAAAGAACCAATTGTAACTCCAATTTTAATGTTATAACGATCTTGGTACCAATTAAATCGCATTTTAGTCTTCTTTATTGGGCACAAACATTGTAGCTCCAACATGGTTCCAACACACACCAAACTACAATAATTTCAAATTAAAACTGAGAATTAAGGCATTTAATTACATTTTCTAGAAGTTTAAATTTGCGATTTTCCAAAAATGCGTTTTTGGATATACAATAAGTGTGCTTTAGACCGACGATATATTAATTCATACACCAGGGTTACTGTAGAAACGAAATCATGTATTGATCATATTTTTATAAAAAATAATATGCCAAATAAAAAATTCTCATTTAAATCGTTGGTAATTGACACTGATCTAACTGATCATTTTCCAATTTTTTAAAATATTACAACAAACGAAAGAAACTTTAACCATAATACATTAAACCAACATACAACACAATACACCGATATAGATAGATTTACAAAATTATTAGAAAATGTAAACTGGGATAACGTCATTTCTCTTAGCAATCCAATTTTGGCCTACCAGAAATTTATTGAAATAATATATTCCCTAAAAGAACAATGTACTATAACTAATAGGCATAATACTTTTAAAAAAATAAAACCATGGATAAGTCAAGGCATCATCATGTCTATTAAACATAGGGATAAAATGAAAAAGCAAATATTAAAAACCAAAAACAACAATCTTCTAAGAGAATATAAGATATATCGTAACCAACTAAATAAAATAATAAATAAAGATAAAAATGATTATTATACAATTCAAATTCAAAATAGTAACAATGATATTAAAAAAAATATTCAAAATAGTTGAAGAAGCTTCAAATGAACATCGAAACAATAAAACAAACAATGATTTTAATATTCTAAACAATAATAAACAATTTACAAATGACAAAGAAATGGCCAATTACCGCAATAACTATTTTTCAAAAATTGGTATAGATACGGCAACTAAAATCAATTCTGTAGATGACTTCCTAATAAGATATCCACCTCTAATCAACTCAATGGCATTAAATCCTGTCAATAAAAATGAATTAATAGAACATATAAATTCGTTAAAAAATAAGTGCTCCTGGGATTGATGGAATTACATCTATAATGTTGAAAAATGGTCACCGATACATAATAGAACCTCTAATGCACATTATAAAACTAATCTTTACAACAGGATCCAAAAAAGATGTGTCAAATTACAGACCAATAAGTCTGATTACAAATTTTGAAAAAAATTTTGAAAAATGTTTAAAAAAAGAATATAGGAATATCTAATTGATAAAAAGATTTTAAATGTTAAACAGTTCGGGTTCCAAAAAAGGTGTTAGCACTTGTGATGCCATGTATGAATTGATATCTAATATAAAAAAGTCTTGAGAATGAAAATAAAAATATAAGTGTTTTTATCGACCTCGCGAAAGCTTTTGACACTGTTTTTCACAAGCAACTACTAAATGTTCTTGAACATTACGGCATTCGAGGATTGGTTTTAAAAATTTTTGAAAACTACCTACACGAGAGAACACAGATAGTTAAAATTAGAAATGAATTTAGTAATCCTGTTAAAATTCAAATAGGTGTGCCACAAGGAACTGTCCTTGGTCCAATTCTTTTTATCATCTATATCAACTCTCTTTTAAACTTAGATATAAATGGTATAGCAATATCCTATGCAGATGACACCGTATTAATGTTTGAAGGTAAAACCTGGGAGGCTGTAAAATCAAGTGGTCAAAGAGGTAATAATTATGAAAGACTGGTTGGATTATAATAAACTATCTTTAAATATATTGAAAACAGTATATATGGCATTCTCACTCACAGATGCTAACAGACCTAATTTCCAACAGATTTGTATTGAATAATCCAAATTCAGGGTTTAGGACATTTGGACGTGGCCGTTTCGGCGTGGCCATTTGGACGTCAGGCCATTTCGCCGTTGACCGTTTCGGCGTCGGGAATACTATTTTTTAGTATGTATGTTAAAACCACTGCAATTTTTATTACGAAATAAGTGAGGTATTGCATAGGAATGGGATAAATGTTTTAATCTCTTTTTCAAGTACCTATCAGAATTATAATAGTAGTATAATTAATATTAGTGTAATTAATATTTTATATGAACATTAGTATAATAATAGTGAAGTAAAGAAATTGTTCCAAATTTGCAACCCAGAGTAATATATTGCGATTTCGAACTATAAATGGTTGTTTTTTTCACTTGGCCCAAAATATGAGGAAACAAGTGGCTTCTATGAGACATACGAGAGAGTACAATGCTGATCTACAATTCTCTTTAAATGGGAGAACGGTGATATCTTTGGCATTTGTTCCTACGATCATTTAGATTATGCCTTTGATGTTCTAGCGGAAGACCTACCTGCCGAACAGCAATAGAACATATACATTTTATTTTAGTCTTTCTTTCGACACGAAAACAGTTTTATTATTTAATTATAATAAACCTAATTATAATAAATATAACAATTATTTAAAATTTATAAAAATTATATTGTTAAGTTTGCCAAAACTTCCAACGCCGAAATGGCCAACGTCGAAATGGCCGACGTCCAAACGGCCACGCCGAAACGTCCCATTCCCCAAATTCATCATCAAAGAAGTGGAAAATGCCAAATATTTGGGAATAATAATTGACAAAAATCTTAAATGGACTGATCATGTTCAGTAGTTAACAAACAAAATAAGAAAACATATATAAATTTTATTTAATTCGTAACATTCTAAATAAAAAGTTTTTACACTTGATATATATTGCTCTCATTGAACCCTTAATTAGATATGGCATAATTGTATGGGGTGGTTTATATGACAATGCCCTACATCCTTTAAGTATCATTCAAAATTATATCTTAAAGATAATAAATCATAAAAGCCGTTTGTTTTCAACAACCCTCTTATACAACGAATCCACTCCAAACGTAAGATCACTATACTTTCACTCTAGCTGTATGTTCTACTTCAAACTGAAAAATAAAAATTTTGTAAACCACTCTTATATGACCCGAAAACAAAAGAGAAGAATGCTAAATGTACCATTCTTTAAATATGATGGAAATAAAAGATTAATTTCTTCAATTGGGCCAAAAGTATACAACTCTTTAAATTAAAATATCAGACAAATAAAAAACATAAAAACCTTTTCTAAAGCGATCAGAATATGTATATTTGATAAATATTTATACCTCTCAAATTTGTTATAAATACCTAGTCTTATATATTTATGTCCTTTTAATCATCAAATGTTTAGTTTATAGGTACCCAGGCAGCACGCATTAGTATAACTAACGTATTTTATACGTAATACTCGTTTAATTTTGGTATTGGTTGATTCCGTATACGTTTACAGTTTACGATTATTATACATGTCGTATTTTAAAAGATATATTATACGTTTTCTGTATACATCCTATGGTATATAATTGTAAATTTTTCTACGTTTAAATGTAGTTAACAATATACGACTATTTTTAGTTTGCGATGAACTATTTATATACAGTGGGCCTAAATATACGTTTAGGTTTATTTAAATTAAATTCGTATAAATTTACATAATATTACAACATGTGTTCTTCGTTTATAACTCCCGTTTAAATTTCGTCTTGGTTGATTTTTTAAACGTTTACCATCTACCATTTTTATACTTAACGTTTTTTAACAGATAAATTAAACGCTTTTGTTTGTGGATACTAGTTAATATACCTATATTATTCTACGTTTAAATATAAGTCATCTTAAACGCATATTACTAGTTTACAGAAGTAAATAATATGTATATATTTAGGTTTATTTAAATCAAAAGTTTATAGATATATTTATTTACATTACACCATATTTTTTTAATTATATTACCTGTAATATTTATGACAAATTCCCATTGTACCGATTTCAAACACCCGAACATTTAAATAACCCGCCAATAACCATAATGGGGTGGACTAGTCCATGTCGTTTCAGTGAGTGAGATTCGGGGTGTGCTTTAAACTAAGTCGGGCTGGTCCAAAGTGCGCGTAGTGCAGAGAATCGAGAGGGGAGTAAGGTACCGGCAGACGATCGGGAATCAGCTGACTGATGGTGGTTGGTGGCTGTGAAGCGCCTGCTATCAATTAGACAATTAACGCTATTATAAGTAATATTTCTGTTAACTAGTTGCTAATCACGATAATTGTTTTTTATGTAATAAAAAGTTCTTGTAAAATTGTTGGTGTTGTTGTGCCCAGTTGCATTACATGTTGCTTTGGCGTCCTGGCTTTTACGATATTGGTTAAAAGCATAGGTAAGTTTCTATTAATGTTTTAATTTAGCTACTCGTTTAATAATTGTTGCATTTTACAACAACTACTGTTATATTACAGTGTGTAAAATGCTTATAGAAACTCCAAAACATAACCTTAGTTTTGTTTCTCTTATTTTTATACATATTTCTATACGTATTTTTTAGGCTACCTAGTTATTCCAAGCATACTTATTTTCCTTTGTTTTGGTCAGTTGTTTTTTATTTAATAAAATGTCTAAAATAACCGTCTCGGCGTCATCTACTAAGAAAAATATCACAAAATGTTCAAGATGTTTTAAAGTCAAATCAATTTTTTTTTCCCAATGAAGATAACATTAATAAGGCTTCGGACATTAATATATCATCTGATTCTATTATTTACAATAATTTCCTAGAAAATAATACAAATTTAACTTTGGAGCTTTTACAAAATATTTCACCTGAAATGCAGTTATATTTTGGTTATAGGAATGGGGGTGAACCAAGAGACTTAACCGACCAAACGATTAGAAGTGCTATGCAAGATTGGCTTAAGTTAGCTAAGGCCTGTCTAGGACACAACACATCCAAAGTGTTAAGTTAAGATTTTAATTTTCATATATATATTTTGTTAATTAAAGAAAAGTTTCGTTTAGTTTGTTATTCAATATTTTAGTGTTTATTTTTTAGTACTTATTTATTTTTTAGTATTTTATTGTTTATTGTTTATTTTTTTTTTTAATAAAATATTGTTCTGTACATATAACAAGTGATCAAAAAAATTTCCTAAATATTTAGGCCAATTACAACCAAAATAGAAACACGAGTAATAAATATGTCTAGTGTATACACACCTGCTATGGATGAAATCCAAACTGTCATTTAAGAAATATTAACATTTTTCCATGGCCTCTTTTAGAAATTTTGTTTTGATCACTTTATTTAATTTGTGTTTAAAATACATTTAAAATAATATTAGGTAGACGTATTTTACACATTAATAAAATAAGATAAATCTAATATAGACGTATAGTAAAACAGGATAATAAAAGGTAGATAAAGTAGTAATGTTAGACGTATAAAAAATAAAAAAAATATACGTTTATAGGGCGGACATTTTCACGCATATATTGGGTAGCATATCAACGGTATTCATACGTATATTGAAGTACATAAAAAAACGTCTTTTATACCAAAGTGGATTCGTATAAATATACTACAACTATAAATCTAATATAGACGTATAGTAAAAACGTTTAATTATAGGTGGATAAATTCTTAGTAATCGACGTTTATAAGGCGGACATTTTCACGATTATATTTGGTAGTACATCAACCGTATTCATACGTATGGTAGTACCTAAAAAAACGTAATTTATACCAAAGTGTGCTGCCTGGGTATTGTTAATTTTATGTAGTTTTAATCTATTTCTATTGCATATACAGATGTTTTTGCATCTAGGTGCATATATTTTAAGAATAATTTCTCATTGTAAATTTATTTGATTTTGTATTATAAAATGTTTATTCTTCTTTAAAAAAAAAATTGGAAGCAGCTTCTGTTACTTCCTTGTTAGACTTACGCTCAGAAATTACATCAATATCCAATTTGGAATCTTTAGAAATGCCCAAATTAGTCGATTCAACAAATGGTTGATTTATGTTGCCAGACTTTGAACTAGCCTCAATTTTCGAATATTTAATTTGTTCATTTGTTAATTTGAGATTAAACTCATCATTACAACCTATCATCTTATTATCTTCGAGAGAATCATTTTTTAAATTGGAAGCAGCTTCTGTTACGTCCTTTTTATTAGGCTGGTGCTCATAGGTAGAAATTACATGAATATCCAATTTTGAATCTTTAGAAATGCCCATTTTTGTTTTGTTTTTATCTATGATCATATGTTCTGAAGTAAAACATGTTAAATCCATAACTGAAGTAAGATTATTTTCTATATTAGCTGGAGCACATGTAAAATCCATGTCTGAAGTAATATCGTGTTTATTAGCTGAAGCACATGTACTATCCACAACTAAAGAAATATTTGGTTGATTAACTGAAGCACATGTAAAATCCATAGTAGTTAAATTAGTTTTTTGTTTAATAGATTGAGCACATGTAAAATCCATAGCTGACATATCATTATGTTTATTATTTGTAGCACATGTTATATCCATAGCTAAAGTAGTATTTTGATTTTTAGATGGAGCACAGGTAATATCTAGAGTTTGAATATTTTCTACCACTGGGTAAAACTCATTTTCTTTATTGTTTACCTGACTGCTTGCTTTTAAAACTTGATTTCGTTCAATAATTCCGTGCGATGATAAAATTTCAGGAGACAAAACATTAGTCAACTCCATATCTGCAGTTTCTAAATTGGCTTTAATTGAAGTTGAAATATTTGATGAATTGTATCTTATTTCCTCATGTACAATATTTTCTATCATCTCTGGAATATTTGTTTCTTGTATTGGTCTATTTTCATATCTACAAGTAAAATCAACAATAGTGCTGTCATGATTATTAGTTTCTGGTACATCTAAGCCAATTGTAGTAGTTTCTCTTGTACATAAACTCATATCCATGTCAATTTTGCTTGTATTTGAAGACATATGTACAATTGGTGCATAATTTTCTTTCTCATTCTCTTTTATCTCAGTTATAACATTCACATCTTGCAAAGTTTTAGATTGGCTTATATGAATAGAAGATGTTCCTGTATTTTCATTTGATTTAGTTGAATCAATGCTGTTTGCAGCTTCTTCATATGTGTTATCCCAAATTGTGCATTTTTCTTGATCTACTGCAAATGGTCTGAAAATGTGTTAAATTAGATATCAATTTTAAATAGAATATTAAAGGCTATGACCAGGTAAGCATCAGTAGTGTCCTTAGAAATAATCTGTGTGAATAACATTGTCAAATATTGGCTTCAAAATATTCATGAATCATGATAAAATACTTTTGTTGCATGACTTAGAATTTGTAATCAAAAACAACAGAACATACAAGTAAATTAACATCGAAGAGTAAATTTTATGTTCCTAAATCCTTAAGAGTGGATAAAGGATTAAGAAATGTAATAATAATAATAATAATAGTTTATTTGTCCTTTAGGATCATGTTACATGATATAGGATAAGTCATAATATATATGAATAAAAAATATTAAAATACAAATAAATATAGGTACAGACTAGTACAGAGTATACAAAAAATATATATATCTAAGACATGCACATTAAAAATATACAAATAGAAAAACATTTACCTTAAAATATGGTGGTATTCAGATAAATTATAAAAACATGAATCTACTAAATAGTTTTTAAGTTTTCTTTTAAAAGGTTCATATTTCTTTTCAGATTTAATGCAATCAGGGAGTTGATTAAAAAATTTAATTCCAACAAATTCAGGCGATTTCTCAAATAATGCTGTTGAATGTCTTGGTGTTCTGAATAAATTTGCATTTGTAGTATTTTAAATTTTTTGAAGTTATATTTACAAGTTTGCATTAATTCTAGATTAAAAAAAAAGCCTGATTATTCTTTTCTGTAAGATAAATACTTTAGATACATTGACTGCATCACCCCAAAGAATAATGTTGTATGATATATGAGAATATGCTAAAGCATAGTAGACATAAAGTAGTTGCTCTTGGGTAAATATTAATTTTAGTATTGCATAGTATGCCCTGTTTATTTTTTTACAAATATTAGATATTTGGCTATCCCAACCCATATTGCTATCAATATGTATGCCCAAAAATTTTGTAACATCTGAGAGCATAATTTCTGTATTATTGACATTTATTTTACAATTCTGGGTAATTTGATTTCTGGAGTAGAACTAAAGGCAAACGGTTTTGTTTGAATTAACAATTAAAGAATTTCTATAACACCATGATGTAAACTCATTAGATAAAACATTTAATTTACTAATTAATTCATCTACTGATTGTGAGTTGGTGGCAATTGTTGTGTCATCTGCATATAAAATTATGTTTTCTGAGTTAATATGATTAGGCATATCATTTATGTAGCATACAAAAATTAGAGGTCCTAAAATTGATCCCTGAGGCCCACCCATATCAACACTTTCTAGTTCAGATTTACAATTTCCGACTTTGACATAGATCTGTCTGTTATTTATATAAGATGACAACCAAGACAAAAGTTACCTCTAAAACCAAGCCCTTCCAATTTTTGAATAGCGACATCTAAGTTGATTGAATCAAACGCCTTTGATAAATCAAAGAAAAGGGCACCCACAAATAACTTTTGATCGATAGAAGTATGTATGAAATTAAAAAGATCTATTGCTGCACTTTCAGTAGATTTTTCTGGAAGGAATCCATTTTGATTTTTGCATATTATTTCATATTATTTAAGAAATATTAGCATTTTTTGTGTGAACACACTTTTCAAAGATTTTGCTTAAAATTGTAGGCACTGTAATAGGTCTATAATTATCAATTAAATTATTATCACCTTTTTTAAAGATAGGAGTTACATATCCTACTTTCAGATAATCTGGGAAAATACCTAGCTGAATAGACTGATTGATTAAGTCTGCTAGAATTTAAGAGATGTAATGACTAATACATTTTATTATCTTTGTGGAAATGCAGTCAATGCCCATAGTAACATTTTTTAAAGAGTGAATAACTTCAATTACATCACAATGATCAACAGGAGAGAAGTAAAAGGTCTGAGACACATGACGCAGTAAAATTTTTAAAATTCAAATCATTGAAATGAGACTGTAGTGCTTTTTTTATGGAGGTGGCAAAATGATCTGCAAAAACTTTAGCTATTTGTTTTGGTTCAATAATTGACAGTCCTCCTACTTCAATTTGTTTAATTTGAGAACCTTTTGATGTTTTACCATCTTGGTGATTTACCTGTTTCCATATATATTTTTGTTTTTGCTGAAAAGTGTTATTGTGCAATCCCTTTTGAAAATGATATCTTTTTGCTCCATTTATATTATTGACATATTGTCTCTTTGCTTCTTTGTATCTAATATGTACATTTACATTATCAGAATTTTTTACTAACCAAAATAAATTCCTTATATCAGCTCCCATCCTCAAAATATCTGGAGTTATCCAGTTTTTTTTTTATTTGTCTTTACAGTTCTTGTGACAACTGGACAATTTACTTCTATAAAGTAATTTAGAATATTTAAGAATGTTTCATATGTTATCAAAATATTCATACACAGAATCAAAATTTTCAGAACTTATTTTTTGCTGCAAATTAAGTAAAGTCTCTAAAATGTATTTTTTCATTGATATCAGTTACATAACATTTTTCCTTTATATAATTTAATGACATGTGAATTGCTAGGTGATCTCCAATACAGAGATCTACCATGGTTTCCGTGTATGTGGAAAGGTAGTTTGTGAGAAAATAAACAATTTTAGTAGGCGACGTTTTACCGTTTTTGTCAGTACAAATTCTAGTTGGTTCTCTATTTAAACAATGCAAGTTAAATCAACTAATAAAACTTTTTCTCCTGAATCTTTTAAAAAATCAATATTGACTTTAATTGGGCTAAACCACTTAGAGGATCTTCACATTGTTAACCCTGGCTTTAAAGAACCATTTGAAATATTTATGTAAAAATATTTGAATCAATTACCTCTTGAATCTGTCCACTTAATTCTTACATAATTGTGAATATCTATATATTTATTTTTATAATTTTTGGTGAGGTTCAATGTTCATAGGCAAATTACACATGCTTATCCGGCCACAGCCACTCTTACACTCCATCAAGAATAATAACTTACTTTACAAAATTGCTACTGTGAAAACTAACCCTTTTTGGATCTTTGTTAGTAGTAGCAGTAGTGATATCACCAATTGATTCATTTAACATAGTCTGATTTAGACTCTTTCTCTTCAAAATCTACAAAAAAAAATTATTTAAACAATGGTTTATATTTAAATAGGATTGAATTTATAGGTAACTCTAGAATTATATTCAAAGTGATTTTAATACATATACATTGGGTAGACTTAGGTTAGCAGCAATGAAACGTAAAAGATATAGTTTTCGATTTTCCAACCTTTCAGAAATGTATTTATTTATTTATTTTCACTGTCAGAGCAAGCTACATTACAATAATGATTAAGGTATTACTAGTAATATGTACACAAAAACATATTTGTAAAACTGCTTTGACTAATTTATTTCCAGGAAGAAAAAAGAAAAAACAACTTGAATAAATCTGGTTTCAAAAATTCATAGAGGACCAATAACAAGTAGGGTGGGACATAATTAGATAAATAAAATAACATGTAGGTAGGCAAACTGATTTTCTTCAATAGAATATTTAGCACTCTAGCAGCCCGATATATGGGAGAACCAAGTTGGTATTTAAAAAAAAAAAAAGACTTGAATAGATATTGATTCAAACAATAAAAGTTTTTTTTGCTAATCTGAGCTACTTGCACACAGCCGTAAACCTACTTTGATTCATTTAAACTTATAAATGTCTATACTTAATATAGTTTACCACAAATATAAAATAGTGTTCAATACTTACAGAAGCCCTTAAAGATTTCCTATCCATTTTTTTTAAATAATTTATCTTTGTTAAAAAAAATTGTTTAATTTTTCCTAACTTTGAAAGGGATTTTTCAAAACTCAAATTACAAGCGAATGAAGCAACATCCTAACTGAAATACTTTTTGTCTTAAAAATATTTTTTTGTCTCAGAAAGTTTTTAGTTTTAATTTTGCTTTGAAACACAAACACAAACCACCAGATCACTTATTTACATTTACACTTATTTTAGTTTATCTTGCATTTATTTTTATTTACCAATTACATTACACATTTTATTTATTTTTCTGACACAAACTTTAAATACTATTCGTTATTTATCAAAAATCGATACACTTCTCGATTACCGGGGCATATCGATCTAATTAAATGTATCGAGAGACATCTACACTTCGGCATCAGCTTCAGCTCAGACCAAAATAAAGGTAAATATTACTTTTTTTAACAAAGGATAAACTAAATTAACCGAACGTAATATCTATTAACGAATTTAAATGTTATCCTGTGTAAAACACATCCAAAAAATAATTTCATATGTATCGAAATAGGTGAGCTTTCATTTCCATACTATCGATTTTAAATCCGATTATTACTTCCCATGAAGTTAGTAATTTAATTTAAAATTAGGCATTCCAACGACCTGTCCAAATGGCTACCAGTGGGTAATGACAGTTTAGATATGGCAACCCTGTTGTCATGTTGTCATTAACAGGGTCAATGATACACATATAGTTATATAGATTGCTCAAAGCTGGTCGTTTACGAGCGGCCATATTGCCTGGCAAATACTTATTAATTTGAATCGGTTTAGCAAAAATGTGTTTTAAAACCAATTTTTAGCCTTTAGATATTTAAAAAAAAATAATTGCTTACATTTTTACTTTAAGGCATACGCTTATGTTTATTTTGAAAAATATGGATAATCAATCTATGTAACTATCTATTTCATTGACCTTGTCAAATCACCAGGTCTACAGGTTTGCCATAATTTTGCAATATCATAACCCGTCACAGCCCACTGGTAGGCATTCAGTTTGGAATGCCTAATTGAAGGACTCGAAACGTTTTTCTTCTGATTTGTAGCTGTGACTTGTTAGGATGTCAAGTAACTTGGTAATCAATGATTTGATTAAAATAGAATGAAACCCTTTATAAATTAGAAAACGCTATCAAAATCCAATTTAAATACACATAGCCTTCTTCTTTGTGTTCCTGAACATAATTTTTTTAGAGGAAACTAAAATGTTTTTGACAGCTGTTGACAGTTCCATTGGAAGCAAAGGCGTCGATGTAAAAATGTTAAATAAAAAAATTTAGAATAGGTATTTAGAAAAAGTTTATCGCTATTCCTAATTGATTGCAATGCATCAATTACTCTCGAAAAGCGACAGAAAATTTGAATGATCTAAGTCCTTTTGTTGGTACATGTGAATTTGTCATAAAAAAATAGGTATATCGTGAGACAAAGATCTTTGTTAAAAATGAAAGATATTAAAATAATAAATTTATATGTTTCTTCGCATAATGATACCTAGAAGAAATTGTGGAAAATAAGTAATGGGTCGATCTGAGATATTTCCCAGAATCCTACCATGAGTAAAATAAATTTATTTATTATGGCACACCAATGTTTTCTAGTACATAAAACAACGAAGGTAGAGATGGGACATCGAGTATTGTCTATATTGTTCATAATTCGTAAATGTTGAATTTTTAAGAATTACTCATCTGATTAATGTATAAACAACTGATTGGCTGAAGATAAATGAAAACACAATAAAATTTGGAGTCAAAGTAACGGTTTATATTGTGAATCGATTTTCGTTACTTTGATCATTCAGTTCCAAGTAACGGAAAGTTACTTTTGTATCAACTCTAAGCGCTAGCACAGAATACTTTTAGTGATTATTCTGTGGCGCTAGTGTGTTTCTCAAGTAATCAGCCACCAACGTTGCCACATTTAGTAGATTTCCACTTTTTTTGAATATTTTTTGCTTTTTTAGCTAATTTTAATTACAATTACTTTTAAATGGCGTTTAGGAGATGCACGTAGTATAAAAACAAGAAATTTCCTTTTCAAACCGGTCACTCGTATCCACCTCATTTGTTTGAATGCATTTGACGAAAGTGCTGTGCCGTGGAATGAGCCTCTGTGAACTAGTGAAATTATTGAACCCAAAATAATAACTGTAAGAGGTAAATAGATGTAGATACACTTATCTTTAAAACGTATTTTGTATTTATATTATTATAAACATAATTTAAGTAACACAATCATTATAAACTAAGGAATATAATATGAAGTGATGTATGCAGCAGTTTTTATGGGGTAAATACTAAATAACTATGTGCTTATTTACTTTACGTAGGTATTTCTAGTTATTATTCAAATTTTCTCCATTGAAATGAAGCATTCACTATTTCAATAAATTTATTCTCAGTTACTTTAGCGCTACAAGTATTCTATTTTAAAGTTTAATTATTTTATCTTTTTGATTAAACGACCCAGGAATGATTATAATATAAAAGTACCTAGGCCTAGGTACATGAACTTTTGTAACCAGTAAACTTTAATTATTTTTTTATTATTAACTTTCCTGTTCCATTTTTACTACTTTTTACTTGTTATGTATTTTGTATTTTCCCTTAAGTTAAGGGAATCTTAAATGGTATAGAAAACAGTACGCTTAGGGCTGGTTGTATAAAGCTACTTGAAGTTAAGCTCAGTTTTAGGTGATACATGTCAATTTTCGATGTTGTAGGTGTAGTCTAATGTTTGGGGAAACAAGCCCTAATTAAGTGCTAAACGGTGTTTAGACTGTACCTATATTGCCATACAAAATTTGTCATGTGTCTTCTCAAACCGAGTTTAACTTTAAGTAAGCTTTATACAATTCGCCCTTAATATATCTTTAACTTTAAGGAATCCTTAATAAAGCCGCTGCAAATGGCTGTTGGCTGAACACTTTGAATTAAATATTTCAAAATTTTATTTGTACCAGTCCGCTTGGTTAATGATTCCTTAATTCTATCATAATTTGTTGTTTTTTCCGCAAAGTAATCACAGAAGTAATTATAAAAGTAATTATAAAAATAATTATAAAAGTAGTTATAAAATAGTTATTAAGTATTTATAAAAGGAATTGACAATATCTTTTTTATGTAATTGTAATTAAATAAATATAATTCCTCTTTTTACAACATGTGCACTTTGTACTTAATTAATTCCTTTTTTGAAAAAGTACTTTGTAATTCTAATTATTTTTAAAGTACATCTAATTACCCAGCTCTGATAATGAATAAATACATGTTTTGGTCGTAATGTCCAGAGGTAATAAGCTTTTTCCCTTAGTGCGGTCGTACACCAAGCAAACATCAAACATGCAACATGCAACGTGCGACATGAAGTAAACATCGTAGACACAGATGGAAAAATTTAAGCACTTGCAGTATTCAATATGTCCTCAAGCGAAGAGGATGTGGTTGTAGCTTGGCAATTTTTGCAAAATCGCACTTGCAGTATTCAATATGTCTTCAAGAGAGGAGGATGTGGTTGTAGAGAGCTTGGCAATTTTTACGAAATCGACATAAACGTAAAAGAATGCGTCGATACTGGATTCATCCTTTATTTGTTTATAACCTAGAGCACAGCCCAGTAACTGTTGCGCAGGAATAACTGGCTCTCAATCCGGAAAAATTTAAAGAATTTTATAGAATGAATCAGCAAAGTTTTAAAGTACTGCTGCAACTTATAACTTATAGGACCAAGAATAGAAAAATTGGATACAAAGTATCGTAAAGAACGAGAAACAAGAACTTGGATGTAAAGCAACTATATTATACTGTGTCTGCTTTTTTATATTTAAAAGTCTATCTACATGAAAAATATCAACAAAACACTTCATATAATAATTCATCCTAGATTGGTTCGAGAAAATGTGGCAACGCCGTCAGTCACAATTTTCAATCAATCATCAGCCGTGTTGCCAGACCTACCGTTTAACAGTAGATCTACTGTTTTTGTCTCTGTTCTGTTTGGCATGAAATCTACTGTTTTCGCCAACTTGGCAAATATTATTCTTAATTTATTATGTTTGCCTCGTTCTTCAGCAAATGTACAAAGGATATTTTCTCAAGTAAAGTTACTGAAGTCAAATCAGCGTAATAAGTTAAATACAGCCAGTATTGTAGGTTTGCGCCATACAAAAAAATATTTAACTTATTTATCATATTTTGATTTAAAATGCAACAAAACATTAATAAGGCGTCGTAATAAGAAACACAACATATTTGAATTTTCTGATTCAGACTATTCTGAAAGAAATAGGTACCTATTATTTTTCATTTATTTTTTTTGTCTCCTGACATTAAGTTTTACAAATTTTATTTATTTAATTCTTTAATTTATAATTTGGGTATAAAATGTTTATTTTTCGTTTCATATATAATTTTTTTTATTTGTTATACTGCAAATTATAATTATTTTCCCCTGTATTAAAATTTACTGTTCAGGTGGTTCAGTTTCGATGATCTGTTTTTTTTTCTCACCCATCTACTGTTCTAGAAAATTTAATTTTCATCTGGCAACACTGGTCATCAGTCAACGGCAGCAGAGTAAACGGTAAAACAACAGAACTCCCAAAACAAAACAGTCTAAATTTAACAGTGGTAGAAGATAGAACGTAGAACGAAAGTTGTTTTGTCGTGTTATTTAACCTAGCGCTATTATCTATTATTTATTCAGTGTTTTAGTTTAGTACATACAAACTGTTCGAGTATTAATACGGTGCCAAGTGTTTCATTAACTTTTAATACAAAAATAAAAACGGGTTGATAAAATTTCTTTGTTGACAGAACTTATAGATAATTTTTTTAGTGATTTGAATGTAAACAAATATGTATCTGCTGCTTTTTATACTACTTTTTACAAAGTCCGGTGTTGGATTCGATGGTGAAATTAGAACATTATTTGGAAATGATTTTGACGATGCTTCTAACGGGCGAAAACCTCTAATAATCGATGCTCCCACGCACGAATTTGATTATTCAAAAGCGGCTCATCATCGTGAAACAAGAGATACACTGAACGTTCAGTCAGATGTGATAACAAAGGTAATTGAGAAATTTAAGAATGCTTCCTGTTAAAGCCACTTTACTTCATTATTTAAGTGATACTACTAATTCTTAAAATACCGGAACAATAACGTTCTATTTTTATGTTCTTCATATAGCCAGCATATTTTTTTTATTATTGTATTGATCAATGAATTAAGAGGCCTATATATAGGAGTATTTTTATTCTAAAATACTCTAATTTAATCTAATCTATTGGTGAGCATTTGAAATATACCTAAGGGTAGCTAATATAAAAAAGCAATAAATCCAATAAAATAATGTATTCCATTTAAGTAGTTATACCATTTAAATAGACAGTTATTGCAGTTTCATATGATTAAAGACTAATAATTGTCCATTAATTTTGTGGAACATTTGTTTGTGGTGTAGGGTGATCATATTTCTTTTGACATAATGCTAAACACAACAATAACATTGAAACTTCGTTTGGAGAGGTGATCACCTTTTTTTTTGAGGGGTAAACCACTTGCCAAAATTGTGTATACTACTTCCCCAAAAACGCAATACTTCCTGTACTTCCCTTTTCCCTTACTTCCTCTGTGCTTCCCTTACTTCCAGTCAGTGCTGCCAACCCAATGAAATTAATAGCCATGGGCATGATTGAAAAGCCATTGCCGTGTCATTGGCAGCACTGCTTCCATTACTTCTTCTGTACTTCCCATATTTCCTGTACTTCCTTCATACTTCTTCTTACATTCTGTACTTCCCCTACTTCGTAATTTATGTTCTTTTCAAACTATTTCACCCTTAGATAGCATATTTGATTGCCAGTCAGACAATATATACCATTTAGAAACATTATTTTCCAGTTCATGGCCTTCTATCTAAAAAAAAGGGTTTGGGAAAAATTAAAATTTGGCAAAACTGTCATATGCCATTTGAACCCTAGAATCAAAAAAAAAAATCATTAAATATACAGGAGGGTTCATTTCAAAAATCAAACCCAATGACATTTCCAGTAAAACTGTGTCAATTCCTGGGTCAATTTGTAATTGTGTCAGATAGATAGATAGATAGATAGATAGATAGATAGATAGATAGATAGATAGATAGATAGATAGATAGATAGATAGATAGATAGATAGATAGATAGATAGATAGATAGATAGATAGATAGATAGATAGATAGATAGATAGATAGATAGATAGATAGATAGATAGATAGATAGATAGATAGATATTTATTGAAGTAGGATAAACCTAATATACAAAAAATATAGAAATACAAATACAGTACACTTAAAACTTAAAGATAATTATTATTAACATAGGCTGAGTTAAGAAAAATAAATTTGTTACACATTACAAAGATACTTTTAATCCTGAGTTTAGACAGCCTTAATTAACAATAAAACAAATAACAGTTGAAAGCATGAACCTAAATATTAAAAAAGAAGAATAAAAAAGTAAAATAAAAAAGTAATAATCAAATATATAAAAGTTAAAATCAAATTTTATCAGTTTTAATAAAAGTTGTCAATTTTTTTTTTAAACTTGCTAATGAATTACAATCCTTCAAGCCCCTGGGCAGTTCATTATATTCTTGGAAACCTTTATACAATAATGATGTCTGTGATTTCGAATAATTAACTGTTTTAATGTATATATCTTTAGTTGATCTTGTGCTGTAATCATGAATATCCCCATGATAACAAATAAATTGATGAAAGTAGGATAGAGCCAAAGAATGAATTATAAATAAACATAATTGTCAAGTAGTACAACCTTTGCTGAATCGAAAACCATTGAAGAGAATTTAACATTGTGGCAATAGGTGTAAGATGATTAGTTTTTAATATTATGTGCATGCCTTGATTTTGTAGTTTTTGAAGTTGATTTAATTTGTTGAGATTAAATAAATGAAGAATGGAGGCACAATAATCGAAGTAAGGCTGAATAATTGTATTATATACTGTTATTTTAGTTGAAGTTGACAAGTTATTTGAAATTCTAGAGAAGAAATATAATTTTTTCAATTTTTTTTATTAATATAATTAAAGAAATTATTAAAAGTAAGTAGATTATCTAATTGGATACCTAAATACTTAATAGTTGGGACTATTGTGATTTTTTCACCATTTATTTGTAAATTAACATCATTGGTATCAAGTAAGCTCTATATTTATGTTTAGTTGTAAAAATGTGCTTTTGTTTTAGTTACATTCAATTTCAATTTGTTAAGTTGAAAATACTGGGCAACTTTCTCCAGTGTTTTATTCATTGCACTTGATTGCACTCATTCAATTTATATCAGAGCATGCTAGCAGAGTGTCATCAGCAAAGAGATTAATGAATTCACAATCAACAAACAGTCCAATATCATTCAAATATAGTATAAAAAGCAGCGGCTCTAAGACACATCCTTGTGGAACCTCTGTGTCAATGTTAATCTCAGGTGATATCTGATTGTTAGAATGTACTTTTTGTCTACAACCTTGCAGATAATCATTCAGCCACTTGTATACTTTTCCACCTACACCATATTGTTGAATTTTCTTAAGTAAAATACCCTCAAAAATACCCCTACCACTGGTCTCAAATGCACGTTTCAGATCTAAAAAAAAAACAGCTACTACATATTTATTCTCATCCACATCATTTTTAAATTTACTCACCATTAACTGTAATGCAGACTCTCAGGAATACTTTTTTCTGAACAGGCTGGTTAGTTATTAAAATAGAATTATTATTAACATGTTCAAGTAGTTGTTCATACACAACCAGCTCTATTACCTTTTCAATTGACAGGAGAGTATTTACAGTCCTAAATTCTTCCAATTTTATTGTATTAAGTATTAACTTTTTGAATTGGAACAATAGTACTAATTTTTAGTTGAGATAGAACTTTGACAGTATCAAGTGAGGTATTAATTAAGTTTAAAATAATGTGCCCAATTGTTGCATACACTTCCTTTAGAACTTTAGAATTAAGAATATTAAATGCAGAATATTTATTATCTTAGTAAATTAAAGTTGTGAAATGGTAAGTATAAATTATTGTTTAAATTATGCCAGGGAACAGTTGCATCAATACTTCCAATCCATCCATAATACTTTCAACAAATTATTCCTTAAATTTAGTTGCTATGTCAACATTATCATAAAGGATAATATGGCCTGTTTGATCACTAAATTGAACATGATCAGTCACATCATTTAATTTAATATTTACTAGTTTTTTAAAGTTTTCCACATCTCTTTGGGATTTTCTTTGCAACAATCAATTTTATTAAAATAATAAGTAGATTTTTTTGATTTCAGCACATTAACTACCTCTTTTCTACATTTTTTAAATTTATTCCACATATTTAGCTTTTGATGTTCTGTACATGACTTGAAAGACTTGTAAGCATTATCTCGGATTTTAATTTTATTGTAAACCTCATTATCAAACGTGGTACATTAGGGTTATACTTACATGTCTGAATAGGGGCAACCTTATTAATAACTCTTTCACAATTTGAATATAACTCATGATAAATTACTTCAATATCAATAGTATTAAGATTCCAGTTGCACATAATCAGATCATTTTGTATATTAAAAATATAATTCCTATACTTTTTTATAACTTTGTTTGAAGCTCGGTTTGAAGTATTGCTTGTATTGGAAAAAATCACAGAATGATCACTGATTTTCGGAGTATCATGAACTTCAGCATCACAATTATCATCATTAGTTAATACAAAATCGACTAGAGACTTACTATAGTATATTTGTTCCAAATCACTTAATAAATAAAAGAGATATTAACATGGCCCTAGTCTATTCTCATTGTCACCCAGTATAACTATTACTTAGATAAAAGAGACCAGAGATATAACATACACTGGTTTTAAACCTGCGCAAATGTTGCCAATTTCTAAAGAAGGGTTAACGGAGTGGGGGAACTGGGCGGCGACACGCGGCGACCCGAACTCTGTGACATGGACCGGACTTTGTTTATTAGCAACTTAATGAACTATTAGGTTTATTTAAAAGGTGTTTAATCGAATTTTGTATTATGAAATCAAATTATCGTGATTTTTTAATATCAAACAGATGCCACGACATTTTATGTAAAGAGAAGACCTTTTATAGAATATTTCGTTAGCGTTTATTTACTACGGACTTTTCTGCAAGAGATTACAGTAAAATGTTGAAATAGAATATATTGTTAATAGAGCAAAAAATGTTACTCATTGTCTACGAGTATTATAAAAATAGCATGTGCGCAGGCTAATACTGCAAATCTACCCTTATGAGTTGAACATTATATTTTTTCTACGGCTATTACATATTATTAAAAATTAGTCAAAATGAGAAAATGCTGTTTTGTATTGTAACCTCAGAAAAAGTATATTAAGGCTTCTTTCTTTAAGAATATTAATTATTATAAAGGATGAGTCACATAAAACTCTAGAAATGCATATAACTGAAACCAGATAACATTTTAAAATTTAAATCTATTAAGAGTCATTTGGTCGCTAGGGATGAGTGATTATCGAAATAAATTATCGATAATTGAAAATAATCGATTATTTTCGATCAATAGATTATTTTCAAACAATATATTTTTTGTCATTTCCTTTAAAATCGACTACTTGATTATCTTTGAAAAATCAAAAATAATCGATTAATTAAAAAGCCAATTAACCGATAAATCAGTGTTTATAAAATATAATATAAATAGAATTATCGTTTCTTTTAAATAATCGATTATTTTCAAATAAACCATTTTTTTTTCGTCCATGGAAACAGATTATTCGATAATCTTTGAAAAATCGAAAATAATCGATTAATCAAAAATAATCAATTAATTAAAAAGTCGATTAACTGATAAATCGATTTAAAAAAAAACAGAATGATCGATTATTTTAAATAATTGATTATTTTCGATCAATCGATTATTATCAATAATCTATTTTTATTGTATTTCCTTTAAAATCGTTAATTCGATTATCTTTGAAATACCGAAAATAATCGATAATTCCAAA